CTTAAGGGAAATCATTACTTTTGGAACCCATGAGACAAGCCTACATAGCCCTAGAAAATCGTTAACAATGTGCAAGAAAATACTTAAAACCATTACGAGTTGGTATAGAACAAGACCTCAAAGTGTCAACATGAATAAATTTGAAAAAATGAGACGTCTTAATGAATTTATCGGGGAAAAGTAACCTAGGTTATCTAGTCACAGGGACAAGCAGAGCAGGTAAATGGTTGTTAGAAGAACATCTACAAGGAGTACCAACAATATTTATTTATTCTAACAAAAGGAATATGTCCCCATCCTTGATGCTATAAGACTTCCTCTTTGATGCCATAAAACATAAAACAAGTTTTACAATGGGAGTTATCAGATGAAATAGATAGGAGGGCAACAAAACTAAAGAGCACCATTTGGAACCAACAAGCTTAAACTGAGTTGAAGACATTAGAAGTCTATAGTAAAGGGGAATTTACCCACATCTAGTGTCTCCTTTTTTTTTTTGAAAAGGGGGCTTGTAGAGTACATAAAAATGAAGTGAATTGAATCGAATCATTTAGTTGGATAGCTAGTCGGGAAAATGGGATAAGATCGTATTGGAAAATATGGAGAAATGACACATGATGCAAGGTAAATGCAAAGAAAGTGAGAGAGAGCCTATGGAAGTATTTTTTACATTGTAACCGCTAGGAAGGGTGGTAATATAAGGGATTACGAGAAGCTAAATTTTTGAAAGAAGATCTTTGTATGTAATCACGTGATGTATAGCTCTAGAAAAAATCCAATTATGTTTAGCAACTCTACTTCACAATAAAGCACTACAACATACTTTTACACAACCAGCTATTACCAGCCACATTGGGAGATGCTATAAGACTTGACTGAGAGAAAGGCTTTGACATATGAATGTGTTACTAGGTGTATTGCTCCTTGGTCAACCCAAAACAAAAAGGCGAGAGTTAGACTGATAAGCAGATCGTTGGCCTAGCACATGTGTAGATAATCCATTAGAGAAAGGAAATCATTCAATCTCAGAAATTGCATCATGCTATCAACCCTTGATGAACTTGAAGTGAGGTGGGAACCCAATGAGATAGTATAAAATAATCATGGAAGGTTTGAAGATGTTCATAATGAGTTCTACATGGATTTTGACTTGAGAACTACCCAGATGCTAATAAAAGACGGAAAAACATGAGAAATATGCGTTGTGCTATGATAACCCCCAAAGTTGCGCTTGGTCTTGCCGGAGAGCCTAGTAAGGGTCCTTATGAGAAAGGAAGTGTTACAATGACATATAGAAGGATATGTTCTCTCATGGTTATCGAACAAGTGTTGGAAAACTAGCACAATGAATTCACTGACTAAGGAACACAATTAACACATGTTGTAGAGGTGTAAAGAGAAAATAAACATTTGTTATGACCTGGACATGCTTCTGCTATATTAACTCCCAACTACAATACACGACGACGCCACGAGCAACCACAATACTAGGAGCAAAGTGAGCTACTTATCGCGGGATGTACCAAATGGACATGAAAGATATACTAAGATGGCGACACAAGATCTTCCTATGACGGGATGTGAGGATCTCAATTTTCAGAGAGACTTTATGCACATGGTGACCATTTCGATTGACATGCATTCATGTGATAGGTGTTAAGGTATGCTCTTATGTTACTAGACTGTGAGAAGCTTTCATGATGATACTCGCAAAAGAGTAGAATGACTGTTCAAACCATATAAGCCATATATACAAGTGAGTAAAAGAGTGACTCGAGAAGGATCGCAACACTGGGATGCTTTACATGGAACTTGACATCACATAGGTAAACTTTACGACGGTGTATGCATAGGCACAAATGAGCAGATGTTGTCCATTTAAATAAAAAGATTTTGTAACAAATTCATCGGATATAGTCCCCTGTTGAGAATTTAGGAAAGAAAGTGGGAAGTATTAATCCTAGAGTTATAACTCCATTCAAGGACGTGGTTATAGAGCTCAATGTCATAAGTGATTTCATATAAGAAATTTTGCAGACGGAGTGGATTTATGAAATAACGGATCTCGTTCAAGGAGTAGATGCATGCAATGTTTTGTGATTCAGTGTCTTATCAAGACCATGTTTATGAGAACTTCCCTTAGCGACATGTTCTACTAATCCCTCCAGGGATCAATACATTCTTTTAACAAACCTTTGGGCAATCTCCTTCGGACTCAATGGTGGGAACAATCACTCCTTACATGCTTCAACTTTGCAATTATGGTATCAAGATTACTAATCTTGAGAATAAGACTTAGAGAGGAAATCAGCTCCCTATCTTGAGCTATATCGCACGATCTGGAGTATCAAAGAAGGGTGAAATTCCTAAATATCCGAATAGCCTCCAATTTATAGATGTAGTCGACTACACACCGATAAGAAGGACTCTACTAGACACTGCTCCGATACATCCTAGGACACTTTAAAACCTTAGACTCTGATATCAAGTTTGTCACACCCCAAAACCGAGGGGCGCGACCGGCGCTCAACCGAGCAAGCCCGACTAAGCAAGCCTATTAGGTTTCATTCTACCCAAAATTAATTTATGAGTAACAAGGAGATGAACTCCATAAATCCTACTTTATGAGCGTTACATTGATAATTTTTATCTTTGTCTTTCATTAACAGTTCAACCATACTAACCATATTATTACAATCAATAGATGCGAAGGAAACATTCTGCCAAATAACAACATATCTAGTTCAAATTTTCAATACCCGACACCATCCACAACCTATCTACGGAGCCTCTAAATACAATTGAAGAGTAATATAGAAATACCGGCAACAAGGCTCCGGCTATACCTCAAAATACAAAGTACATGATTAACATCGGTACAGGACCCCGAAATGAAGTGGGGCTCACCAAGTCAGCTGAAAGGGAGATGCGTCACTAGCTGCGACCAACACTGCCTGCTATGGAACCACCTACATCCATTTAAAGACGTAGCGCCCCCGGCAAAAGGGACGTTAGTGCCATCGAATAGCACTAGTATATTTAACTAAACACCATCTCACTAGAAAGAACAACCATACAAGAATAAAGAAATCATAAGGATTCAACAAAAGCTTTAAACAATCACCACATCATCAAATAAAAGGAATCACATAGCTTTTACATAATTTCATAGCTTTAGTTTGGGGCATTTAATACTGTTCATCATCATTGACAATACCACCGCTTTCTTGAGCGGAGTCCGATCGCGACCCGATCGGCTAGGTTGCCTCATTTGAGACATGTACCTCAATCACAATCTCATTCTCACTTTCCGGAATTCAAATATCAGCACAATACCACCATGTGTGCGGCATGGCATCCGATCACGGCCCGATCGGCTAGTCCGCCTTACCAAGGCATTGTTCCTTTCTCATTAATCATCTCATTTCAATATTTATTTCACATGTATCAATTCATAGGCACTTAGGGCTACAATTATCACACCATATTTGACACTAGGCCACATTTCATAACTCACATTCCACATCACTTTCACTTTCAACATCAAACTTGCAATTTAAGATAATGTAAACATACAAGAGCAATTCAAGTTGTAAGCATAGAGAGAGATTCACATGATTTGGCATAATAATCACAATTTAAGCTTGACTTGAAATCTTGGCAATTTAGCATATAGTCCACATTCTTCAAGAATAGCATATTGAACATATTGGGACACACTTTTCATATATATTCTTGCAACACTAATTCCTTTGAAATAACAAATACTATGTCAATCAAATTCCGGACTTACAATTTTACATAGACACCATGGGAGCTCTATTTCTAAGAAGAAGGGGTTTTAGCCATACATACCTTGTTTAAGCTTTCCTTAAGTATCTACAATCCACCAACATCTCTAGCAATAAAAATCTATAAGAAGATAGCGGAAATCGATTAATAATTAGAAAGATTACCCATGGTGTAACTCTCTTAGGAATGTCATCAAACACCTAACATGTGAAGTAGTCTACAAGGTCTGAAAATGGAAATTCCTTCCTCCCTCAACCAATTTTAACAAGAACTAACCAAATTAGTTCTTTAATATCACATACTACGAATTTGTCCCACATGCATGGCCTATTTCTAATTCCCACAATATATTTTAACCCTTAACCTCTTACATGAAATCTTGGAAGAAGGACTTTATCCGGATGGAGGACAATCAAGTGGTTATCTTCCTTGATTCTTGAAAGCTTGAGCAAGATTTGGGTGATTATGAAGCTAGGCTCCTTTTCTCTCTTTCTCTCTCTATATGCTCTCAACTCTCTCTAAAATCAGTAGAAAATGATCCCAAATGAAACCCCAAAGCCTATATATTAAAATGGGTTCGGGTTATAAAAATAGAAAAAATAAGCCTTCAAAATCAGGTCTACAGTCGCATAATGGACCGCAAAACAAGAATGTGGGTCGCAAAATGCATCGCGAAATTGGTACCCAAAACTGGGCTATACTGGTCCAATTTGCGACCAGACTTGCGATCCCAGATCAATTATGCGGACCGCATAATGGTTTCGCGATCGTAGAACTGACACGGGATCGCATTTTTTCAGCCTTTGGTAATTTGATCATAACTTTGTGTAGGAATGTCCAAATAACAAACCGTTTGAAGCGTTGGAAACTAGACTAGAAGACCTTTCATATAATATATTTTTCATCATATAAAACCTTATATATGTTTAGATATGGTAGTTCAAAGTATGGACTTGTGCAAACTCATTTGCAATTTTAGCCCATTATGAAATTTTCCGATTTCTCTTAGACTTAGGCCCCTCCTTGGACCCCACATTACTTATTATATGACTTATACACTTATTTATTAAATCCAATTGATGTCTATTATGTTAACAGCACATAATATTATAATTAGCCTACATGGCACCATTTTGGGGCCTTACATATAGCCCATTTTAAGCCTTCAAAATCATACCTTTCAATTTTGATCGTATACAATCCTTGTCCTTATTATTGCTCGTGACCGCGCCCTTCTCTTCTCTCCATCAGATTGCCAACCTAGTCACTATCTTGTGTTTGAACCATGTGCACCAAATTTTTCTAGTGCTTCTTTTTGTGACAAAACCTCATTGGTTAACTTGGAATCCATTCGGTCTAAGCTTACTTTCCTACTTATTAGAAGAAGGAACAAAGGCACCTCTCCGTCAACGTGTGTGTTTCCTTAAATTTTTCTAATTTGTTTAGGGGTATTTTTGTAATTTCATTAATTTACAGCTCAACCTTATAGTTGCTGACTCTTTCTGCCGTTGCCAGCACGTGGACTCCCAATTCCTCAAAGCTAAAAACTCATTCAATAGAACTTGTTAGAAGCACCCACTTCCAGGTTGAGCATTAATTGCCCCAAAATCCATCAGGCCTCACCTAATAATTTAACGAAATTAGAGCAGTTAGCCTTTTCTGATTCACATCTATCATAAAGAGCAGGTTTATTCCAATTACTCCAGCATTTTATTTTATTTATGCTTTCTGTTCAACTTTTTCTTCTTCTGCAAAAAGATCAGATCTTTGGGGTTTTGGCTTGATCAGCGATCTTTTCTTCAATTTAGTCTTAAGATCCATTTCAGAAAGGTGAAAATAAGCTGAGGTTGGATTTTGATTCGTTCTCTGTTTTTATTAATTTATTTTGGATTTCTTATGTGAATTCTAAGTTCTCTTTATTTTATTTTTTCTGCTATTCTACTTTCTTTAAAAGATTGTTAGAAGTTCATTAACATATCTGCTTGTCGGAGGGCAATTTCGTCTTTACAGTGTTATTGTGCTATGAACAAATCTTGTGGTATCCCTGTACCAATGAATTTGAATAGGTAATTTCGCAAGCTAACCTGATAATCACCACTTAATTCTCTGCAATACCAAGATTTTCCTCCGCATCTCCGTCGTCTCTTTGTTTTGATTCTCTTGGCTTCTCCGCTGATTTCTATCTTTTTCATGTTGCACATCAATTTCTGTTATATATTTCAGGATAGTTTAACAGGAGATTGTGGTTTTTATTGTATTTTTGCAATTCTATATTTGCTCAAGATAATAACATGATTAAAAGATTAGTTTTACTGTGTTGTTTCTTTTCCTTCATAGGGGTGTCTCTTGTGTTTTGTTTCAGGGTTCTTGTTGGGTTGTTCGAATATTCATTATAATTTTATCTTGTTGTTCGAATATTCATTATAATTTTATCTTAAATTTTTGTGAAATTCAAAAAACTGCTTAAGAAGAAATCGGGGTTTCCGCGTATTTGAAGGTTTTATCATTTTTAAAAATTGGGGCTTTCATAATGGATGATCCTGTAACTTTCTTGGATTTGACTTTTGAGCTACACTTTTAATGGGCTTCTGGTTTATTTTAATTTTTCCCTGTATTTACATGAAAAAAGATGACTTAGTCCTTCATTGTTTGGAAGTTTTGTATTATCACTTCTTATTTCTCATGCCGAATTTTACCTTCACAAGCTATGAGATTTCAAGTTCCTTCAATTGAGATTGGCTTTACTATCATGTAAATAATATAAGAGAAAAGAACACCTACGGTGAATACTATTTCTAAACTGCGTAAATTGTGCTAAGCCGTAGTAGTTATAGTATTATTGTCCAATTAATTAATCCGCCAGTTGATGTGTATAATTGTAGTCCGGAGGAGACGATACACATTTCTGTTTTTAGAGCAAGAATTAGAGTTATTGCTATAACTACACTTGCGATAAAGAAGTCACTTCTACACTTTTATCACCGGAAGAGATAACATTTTCTATTTTACACAACCAACTCTTTTGAAAACAACTAATGAATTTTATTTTATTCTGTTCGGACACTATTATTCGTCCATTGGTCGAGCAGGATTTTCAAAGCTTGCAGCAATTATTTCCTGAAATTTTTTGTTTTGATTTACTGTCCGAATAATTACTGTGCATGTATTTAGTTACATGTTTAACTTGCATTTTAAAGTTGCTTAGTTATGTATATATAATTATTTTCTCTCTGTGTTGCTGAAGTTGGACTGACTCAATAAATTTCTTGAGCACGTGTCCTTATTTGGACAACGTACTCTTCATTTCTTAAAAGTATCTTGAATAGGTAACTAGCTTGTGCTAAACTATTTTGTATACACTAGTTACTTACAGGACTGCAAAAAATATTGTTAATTGGAGAGCGAATTTTGAAGTATAAAATTAACTCTGCTGAATTTGAAACATCGAATGGGGTTCTTTACCTACTTTCCAAGCTCAGTGATTTCTTAATGGCCAGAAATAAACTTAGTTGGTATTTTTATTTTCAGATAGTGTTCCGACTTGCTAGAAATTAGACTGTGGCATAAGATACTGAAGATGCTATTTGTACCTATCTTCTTTCCATTTGTATTGTAGAAAAACATTAGATGACAATTGTTAAGTGGTCTTGATGGTTTCATTTAGCAAACAAATGTTTTGCATAAGTCGCATGATTAGTGCAAGTTATGGAAAAATTGACTTTATTGAGAAAGTTCGATTAGTAAAGTTTATTCCTTTGACACAAAGATACAAACTAGTCAACTAAAAGGTCTTGTACATATCAGAATTCCATGCTTTTTTTGAGAAGATATGACTTACATATGAAATTTTAATGGAAGTGGCATATATTTACTTAATCTTGGTAAACCTTCTTGAGATAGGGTTTTACCAAGTTCACTTAAGTTATCAAATGTAAATATGTATGCTCCTACAGTCATTACCAATACGTCTATGTATATCAGTTACGCTATTCATCTACTAATATTTTTAGAAAGTTTCACTTGATTCTGCTTCAACAATGTAAAAGTCATCATGAATATTTTCATGGATCCTCCTTTTAACTCTGTCTTCTACCTTGTGCATATCAACCAGGCTATTATTATTGAAGTCGGACATTCTAGGCAAGTTCGTTTTGATTTTGGATGCGGTACATTGGAATCCTGAAGCACCATCACGAACGTTATTGGACGTCCGCCTGCGACACACGATCTTCCTTTCTGATGAATTAGTTCACAACACAGCTCAGCACGATCTACTTTTTGACGAACTTATATGATGTTGGAAACTGAATTTTAGAAGACAAAGAATAAAAAACTTTATACGCTTTGCTTTTGGGTCTTTGCAGATATTATCACATGTACTTTTATTTACAATAGTATTATTTATATCTCTCTTTAGTACTTCCAAAAATAATAATGAAATAATCAAAAAATTTGTGAGACATCTTGACAAGTGAATGGCGAAATATTATAGTGAGAATCAGAAGTACACAATATAAACAATGTAGATTTTTTTAAGTTGGGCCCGGGCGAAGTCCGGGCTACCCCTACTAGTATTCTAAATATGTCAACAATTAACATAGTAATACTCATCCACAATTTAAAATAACAATATTACTCGCGTATAACGCATTTGAAAACACAATAAAATATCATGACCATAATACTTAATATATCTGTGTATTACAACAAAGCATGTGGGGCTCTATAACTTCAAAATCAATATCTTATAATAAAGCTTTAGATAATACAATATTAACAGCAACTAAGCCTCCGTACTAAAAAAGTTATGCCGGTTATATGAATCTTTGCTAACCATGTTTTTACATTTAAATTCATTTATTTGGTAAAATCTTGAAAAATTTAGAAAGTAACAACAATAAAATCCAAAAACAAAAGCATAATTAGTTGTAACCAAGAAGGCATCGAAATTATTACTAATTATATTAATGAGTAAATAAAAGAGAAATAAAATATATGATTTACCATTAAAGACAAGGACGTAAGTGCCAGGTTGGAACAAATTGAAATGTGGTTTTGAACATTTTGCCTCAAATAATTCTTAGAGAAAGCCAAGCACAGGAACATGAGCGCCACCCAAATCACATGCTTCCGCGGGAATTGTGGAGAAATCTTTATCTCACTTCTATTTTTGGGACCACATGCCACCAACCCTTGAGAGGAGGATATCTCTTTAATTATTAACCGTTATTCTTTCCCAACTGGACAATTACCCACACTTTATTAATTTACTTACTATACTTGTGATGATTAAGCCCTAACACAAATTATAGAGAAAAGACTATTCCAAAAGAAAAATAAATTGCAAGGCATGTTAGTTTCTAAGAAAAAGGAGAAAATATAAAAAGAGGTCAAATAATCAGCTAAATGTAACTTTTGGAAGGATCTTTATATGAAAAAAATAATATTTTGGGTTTGAAATTTTGGTTCTTTAATAGTCAATGGTGTGAGCACGTGATTTTAGTTTTCGCGACAATCACTCCAAAAGAAATAAAAATAATAGCAATTGGTCTTGCTGTACAGTTTTTTTTTGGATTTTTACGTGGCATTTTTGTTAGTTATTTGTGATCTTGTTCATTTTTATTTTATCAAACACAAAAATGTGTGTCGTGTGTAGTTGAACCATAATCCGGTTATTAAAAGAAAAATCACAAAATATGCATCTTTTGCCCTGTTTTTTTTGCCTTGGTTTGATTTTACCTATTTTTAATATTTTAATATGTGTGTAATAATTGCTTTAAGTGTTAATTAATGAGGTTTAATTTTGTTTAATTGGGGTTTTGTGTTTTAAAATCAGAAATGAAAGACAAGGGTGCAATTTGGTTTAAAATAGATTTGGGCTGGTTTCCTATTTAAAAATCTGAGGCCCAAAAAAGCAGCCCAAGAACCCGGCGGCAAGGACGCCGGTGACTACCACCTTAACACCATAGGACCGCCTCACCACCCTGAACATAGATCTGTTGTCCTTTTGCCTCGAATCAAACCCTAGGTTCTCGAATCTTCATTTGAAGATTCGAGCAAAACTCGATCTACACCAAACCACCCCAGGTTCATACCGGGCACTCCCCTGATCTCCCTCGTGACCAAACCATGCTTGGTTTGGTCCGAATCTAACCAGGGAAACACAAATCCCAAATCTGCCCCTTAGGAACCCTAGGAACCCTGAGCCCGATCTGTGTCCATTTGAACTAAATGATTAGGGTCTAATGGACCTTAATCGAAGTGTTCTCAGTAGAGAACACTTCGATTAAAGTCCGTTCAACCCCAAGAAAGGTCGATTCAAATCCGAGCTAAGGCTTTCTGATTTTTCAAGGCTTTAAGGTAATTTTTGTTTTCTTTTTCTTTATCAGTTCATCTTGTCTGTTGTAATTGAATGTCTGTTCATATGTCCAAATGTTTTGTTTAATTTATGTTTTGAATTTTTGTCGACTGTGTTGTCCACCTTGCCCTGACCTCTGTATTTAGTCAAGTTTCTCTTCATTTATTGATCGTGTGTATGTGTGTAAGTTGTACAATCAATTGAATTTAAATTTGGTTGATTAATTAGCCCCAGTACAACCTTGTTCAGTTAGTCCAATTTGAATCACACGTTGATACTTTCAGATTTCTGATCATTGGATTCGATTATATGTGTTACAACTAGTATAGTCGAGTCGATATACGTCGCCAATTAGTTTAGCTTTGAATGATAATAATCTGATTCATGTTATGGTTTTTGTGTGAGGTTCTGTCTGAATCCAACTGGGAACTAAGTATAGCTGTTTGTGGATTTGAATTAGAAACATTTATAGTTTAGTTTGTGGGTTTCAGTTCAGCTTGAGTTCTGAATTGATAGCATGTGCACTATAGTGCTTTAATAATTAGAGCAAATGGGATAGCATGGGCTGTCAGGCCACTTTCAGGCTGCCCATACCTTGGTTTTAATTTAAATAAGATGATAAAGGGCTGTTAGGGAATCTCATGGGAAGGGTTCTACTTTTAAAAGATGAGTGAAAAAACAGCAGGCCACATGGAAGGGGATCTGAATAGGTTTTACAGACTGTAAAGGGCCTGGTACTAGGCTATAAAAGAGAGGGAGGCATAGAGAAATACACATATATACACTGGGAGGGACACAGACAAAACACATACAGACACATACACAGAGAGAGACCACAAAAACAGGCATATACAGATATACATTGAGAGAGGATATATACAGGAGAGAGATAGAGAGCAAGAGATAGAAAACATACAGATAAAATCAGAAATTGTTCTTCCTATTGTTGTTTGGATTTCACTTGTCTCAACCTGTTTGATCAATACTGATTCTTCCAAGACCTAACTGAAGTTACTGGTTGTGTGTTGCATTAGTTTATTCCTGGATTTGGTCTGTTTGAGTTCTGATCCTACGCTACTGGTTATTGCTGTATTTGCTACTTTTTCCATCGGCTATAACTGCATTCTGCACTGGAACTTGTTCTGTTGTTACTTGTTTGTCATTGCTGCTGTGTTGCTTTGTTGTTGCTGCTATCTTGTTGCTGCTGCTGTTGATTTTCCCTATCTTCTTCCTCTTCTCCTTTGCATTTTCAGCATCTCAGGTACACATTTCGAGTCCCACATTGGTGTAACTGATGTAACGATGAAAAACATGAATTGAAAGATCTGAAGGAATTATGATCATTCTGTTGTTTTACTTACAGTTTTTTTTATAAATATTGTTAAATTGTGTAAATTTTAGTTTGTAGTTCAATAGAGAATACTTTAGTAAGTTTGTACTTAATTGAAGCTTATGCTGATCTAAAATCGCGATATGTGATTCATTTAAGTGGTATACAGGATGTAACTATAAATCATAGAATATGCAACCATTTAGTATAATTGTTAATTCAAACTCGTTCTCTAGCATGCTTTGAATATGTAGGGTGGATGGCTTTCAAATCTCAAATACAATACAGTTTTACATTCTCGAGTTTCAACTTCGTCAGGCAGTATGTAGGATCATGTTCAATCCCATTAGTAACATTCTGGTAAGTTAACTCCCTTAATCTAGTTTAAATAAGTTTAGTTAAATTCAACTCAAGAAATGTTTGGAGTAAGTGTAGCGTTTCATGAGCTTGTACGTAATTTTTATCAAATTAAAAGCATGTTCTACGAGGTATAGCATCCTTCATCACGTAAACAACTAATCAGATGATTAACAGGAATCCGGAGTGGGCCAAAGCATGCAATTGAATTAAGCACGTATCCTTTTTCTTCTGTTTTTTTTTAGAGACAAACATAATAGAAATGTAGTCACTTTTGGATATCCCTAATAATGAGACGAGCCTCGTCAAATAAAGATGCACGTTGCGGGGCCCTCAATAATTGATAATAGTAAATACTTAGAATCTGGGAGGGACTGTTTAGTGAATTTCACGGTCTTTCCCCAAAAAAAATAATAACGCGTTAGACTTTTTAGGCGCGAATTAATTAAATTACATTCTTAAATTCGGGTGCGCATTTATGTGACCCAAATTCAAATCTCAACGGAGTCGAAATGTGTTAACAACCACGGGCGCATTGATTGTGACGTGGTTCGAGATGCATTTTCACGACGTTGCAATTCTATAAAAATAAATGATAATAAAAGTGGTTTTAAATTCAATAAAAGCACATAAGTCACAACATGCATTTAAATCAGATATTTAGCCATTATAACAATTTAAGCGACCGTGCTAGAACCACGGGATTCGAGGGTGCCTAACACCTTCCCTCGGGTCAACAGAATTCCTTACTTAGAATTTTTGGTTCGCAGACTTCATTTGGAAAAGTCGAAAATTTCCTCGATTTAGGATTCAAGATAAACCGGTGACTTGGGACACCAAAAACCAAACCTTTCCCAAATGGCGACTCTGAGTTAAATAAATAATCTCATTTCGAATATTGTCACTTAAATTGGAAAAACTCTCCTCGCGCATCTATCCCTCGGGGTAGGCGCGCAAAAAGGAGGTGTGACAGCTCTGGCGACTCCGCTGGGGATTTAAACCCAGAACCTCTAGTTCAGGGTTCAAGAATTCGAGCTTAGAATAATTGTTATATTTGGCTTTATTATCTGATCTTTATTACATGTTTTGGCATAACGTGCTAAATGTTGTCTTTTACCGCTTTGATATTATCTGAACTGTATATAAACTGTGCCGAAACCCTTCTCTTCTTACCTCCGGGGAGAAGCTCGCTGGTCGAGACTCCCTATTCTGTTAGTGTCAATACCTGAAATAAGAAAGAGGTCGGACAAGTTACAAAGCCGGACGATCTCGCGGGTCCCCGGTACGTAGCCCCCTCCTCGACTCGAGTTGTCCGCTCGGGTACACAGTCTAGAACATATACCCAGGTTATAAACCTAG